GGTTTTTTGCCATTTATTTTGAAGGAACAGAACAAGCACCATAACCACTGTAGCATGCTTAGGACTTAGCTTATTAGCTGAGAGCACTGAACTAATCCTCTCAGCTAATCAACTCTGTGGGGTAGTAGGAGCTTCTGGCTCCACAGAAGTCAAACATACCCCAGGCAAATTGTCAAGCCATTTGCACTTTGAATACTTACCCTGGAGGGATTACTTACGGATAATGCTTACTCCTTGCACCATAATCACCACTGTGCGTTGTAGTGGTTATAGTACTGTAAGTGGAAAAAAGTATTCAGATAATGCCATGTATAATTTTCTAAGCACTTTCCCCAAAAATTCAGCAAAGTCAAATAATTCACATTTCCTCTACTACTTACACCAGTTATGGACTTTCCGTGGCCCTCTACATGTATGTTTAAAGCCTTGAGAAGGAAATGGGAAATTTTGTTTAAAAAACGTCTGGGGTGCTAGGGTTAACCTTTGCTGCCCTACACTGATTTTGGATCTTACACAAAGTGTATTGTGTAACCAACGGCGGAACTAATGTAGAGAGGACCCTGGTGCAAGAAATTATTTTGGGTCCCCCTCTAGCGCAAGGGGGCCAAAAGTTAGATCACCATCTGTTGTACAACTCGAAGAGTGCTTTGCCAGCTGAAGATGTACCATTTGTGGTTTTACTCGTGGAGCAGTGTTAGTGCATTTGAATGTTAGCATGTTTTTATATAGAGTTTGTGTGTGCATGTAGGGGTGCATTTGAAACATAGAAACATAGAATGTGACGGCAGATAAGAACCATTCGGCCCATCTACTTTGCCCAATTTTCTAAATACTTTCATTAGTCCCTGGCCTTATCTTATAGTTAGGATAGCCTTATGCCTATCCCACGCATGCTTAAACTCCTTTACTGTGTTAACCTCTACCACTTCAGCTGGAAGGCTATTCCATGCATCCACTACCCTCTCAGTAAGGTAATGCTTCCTGATATTTTAAACCTTTGTCCCTCTAATTTAAGACTATGTCCTCTTGTTGTGATAGTTTTTCCTTCTTTTAAATATAGTCTCCTCCTTTACTGTGTTGATTCCCTTTATATATTTAAATGTTTCTATCATATCCCCCCTGTCTCGTCTTTCCTCCAAGCTATACATGTTAAGATCCTTTAACCTTTCCTGGTAAGTTTTATCCCGCAATCCATGAACCAGTTTTTAGTAGCCCTTCTCTGAACCCTCTCTAAGGTATCAATATCCTTCTGAAGATACGGTCTTCAGTACTGCGTACAATACTCCAAGTGAGGTCTCACCAGTGTTCTTTACAATGGCATGAGCACTTCCTTCTTTCTACTGCTAATACCTCTTCCTATACAACCAAGCATTCTGCTAGCATTTCCTGCTGCTCTATTACATTGTCTGCCTATCTTTAAGTTATCAGAAATAATCACCCCTAAATCCCTTTCCTCAGATGTTGAGGTTAGGACTCTATCAAATATTCTGTACTCTGCCCTTGGGTTTTTACGTCCAAGATGCATTATCTTGCACTTATCCACATTAAAGGTCAGTTGCCACAATTCTGACCATTTTTCCAGTTTACCTAAATCATTTGCCATTTGGCTTATCCCTCCTGGAACATCAACCCTGTTACATATCTTAGTATGTACTGTTACCATTGGAATGCAGTGGTGTGTTTGTGGGTAGTGTTTGCCTTTGAATGCACTGGTGTGTTTATATGTAGTGTTGGTTTTAAATGAAGGTGTACCTTTGTGTGTAGTGTTGGTGTGTGAATGAAGGGGTGTATGTATACAATTTTGGGGTTTTAAGACAGATGTGTGCTTGTATGCAATGTTAATGTTTGCAGAGATGTGGGGATTATGATTATATAGCGCCAGCAAATTCCGTAGCGCTGTACAATGGGTGGGCTAACAGGCATGTAATTGTAACCAGACAAATGGACGCACAGGAACAGAGGGGTTGAGGGCCCTGCTCAATGAGCTTACATGCTAGAGGGAGTGAGGTATAGTGACATAAAAGGAAAGGTAGATTTAGGGATGAAAGCTTTTGGTGGAGAAACTACATTTCAACTTCAATAGTCAACAAAAATGTGCTTCACTCACCAGATTCAGACTTTCTGGGTCTACTCCCCTACCACTGCTAAATCTAAATATTGTTGATTGTAATATAGTTTGTTTTTAATATTCTAAGCTTAGCCTCTATAAACCTTGGATGACAATTCCTCTCATGGCTCACTCCATCCATTATTGGGTTTGTTACCCCCAAATCTCCTCATCTGCTGGGACTTTGGGAGATTGTTTTTGGCTATCAATCGGATTACAAATCACTTTATCTATTATATACAATATTAAGCTCTGCACTCACCTCCTACAACTCCTGGACATCAGCAATGACTATAGTACACATCAGCCCAAATACATAGCATAATTCTTTTTTAAAAATTATACATATACACGCTCGCGCGCATACAAACACCCTGACACACAAACACACTGATACATAGAAACACACTGACACACTGGTAGTTCTGTTATAGATGCATCTCTGAAACTCCAAACTAGTCATGTAACACTGCAGTGTTTGTGGGCCCAGGGCATACTTTAAAACTAGAGAAATCTCAATATATCCTTCCAGGGAAAATATTTTATAAATAAATAAGTGACCAAGGGGCCTTTTCACTAAACAGCACATTGTTGCGTAATATAGGTAACAGAAGCAGATTTGGTCAAATTCTCCTAGTCAGGTATAATCACCGCTTGGCAGTTTTAAACTAAATTCTACAATCCAATTCTCAATTTACCTTAATCTGCTATTTAGTGAATGGACCACAATGTCTGAAAACTTTTAGGATTGTGCAAAATATAAATTAAAGCAAATATGTTCTAAAGATCTTCATCTTGATTTATTTACACTGTAATGGTTTCCTTGATTTCATACTCTGTAAAACCAATGAATTCTGACCTTCCCACATGTACTTTGTGAGATATGTCAGTGAGGCATTCGCTAGTAATCACATACATTTTAGACAGGGTTCTCTAAATACTTGACATTAATTTATTTCAGAATTTTGCATTTAAACAGCTGTAGCATTACCGAATATTTTAGTTAAGAATGCAAGATCACTGGGGCGGAGCCTGACTGCCTAACAGAGCAGAAGCAGGGGACACGAGCTCCAGTATAACGGGCAGGAAAAAGGGCATGTTCGGGGGCTAATTAGCCCAAAGACCCACCAGGGTGCATCACCCACGTCGGGGGTGCACCCCCGAACAAAACAAGACCTTTTTGGAGCCCATCGGAGCTCGGAAAGCGGGACACCAAGCGCGGCCTACAGAAACCGGAGCTGAGGAGAGACGGACGGTCTCTCTGACACCGGACCCCCTAAGCGACTTAGCAGGTCTCCAACCCCCTCCCTTTGGACCGGTGGGGGATATCCCGGTCCCCATCGGACAGGCGGACCAGACAAGCTGACCAGCCTTTTGGCTACACTGCCTCCAGAAATGCCGGATCTTACACAAGATGGCCGCTCAGCAAGGGCCAAAAACGGCGGGCACAAACAACACAGCACCCACTCACTGCATGGAAGGCTTCGATCGGCTATGCACGAACCTATGGACAATACTTTGTCATCGTGGAGTGTCCTGCAACCGAGCAGCCAGAGTGGATCCGCCCAGTGACTCGCAGACGCCATTACAGATACCCACTACAAGCGTTCAGGACGGCCATGCGGCCACAAAGGCGGAATAATGTGCCAAGCTACCGGGGCTCACCCACGCGTTCCCATACACACAGCAGCTGGACCAAAGAGCAACCTCTGCAGCCACACTACCTACCCAAACAAAGAACCTCGGACCAAAGAAGCACGTCTCTACACCCAGAGAATATGGCCGAACACTGCATAGCGGTACAAAAGGATGCTTCCCACAGAAACACCAAAGAGGGACTTAAACCCAGTGGTTCCACTGAGCAAAGCGCTCTGCATGGACACAGCAAGTACATAGTACTGATACCCGAAACAGGCATAGGCTGAGGGCCTCGTTACTGGCAATACACAGCCCCCAACCTGGGCCCAACGCTGTGGTTCACATGCCCTCCCTCCCTGCGACCACAGGCTAAATATATTACATAGGCACTCTGTACCTTTATTTCACCCACTCTGGCGATATTTAGATATCTGCCTGACCACCCAGTGGAACCTAGTTCCACATAGATAGAGATGCAGTAACACATCCTGTCTGTTTTTAAAATTTATGTCTTAGCCGTGTTGCTTCAGACCCCATCTTGTACCTAAATGTGTGTTTTATAGTGAATACAATATTTAAGCATGACACAATATAATGTTTCAGCATGACCTCATATATACTAGTTAAGCATGATACATTACTCAGACTAGCATAGTTACACTGCAGCTACACAGTTACCGACCTAATCGACGGGACATGTTAGACATGGTCTAACGCATTACTAATTAAGCAAGGTAGCATTGCAGTCTCATTGTTGTTGTCCAATGTGCGTGTTAATACAATATTCAAGCATGCCATAATATGTTTAAGCATGACCTCATATATACTAGTTAAGCATGTCGCATCACTCAGACTAGCATAGTTACACTGCAGCCTCACAGTTGCCGACCCAATCGACAGGACATGTTGGACATGACCTAACACATTACAAATTCAGCAAGATAGCATTGTAGTCTCACTGTTGTTGTTGAAAATTTTTACTGACCTAATCGACAAGATATGAGTAATCAAACTTATATGCAACAAATTGTATTAATAGTTACTTAATAACACAAAAATTGTGCATGTTTCTCTTAACCCCAATGTAACCTATAAATGTGAAACGCTGGAGGATTGCCTTTGGGGTACCTCACAAGCGACTGTTACTTATCTATGCACTACAAAAAAAAAAAAAAAAAAAAGAATGCAAGATCACAAGATTAATTTATTAAACTTATTTTAAAAAAAAAATAATAATAATTGTTAAAGCATTATGCCCCAGCACAAAATGGCCATAACAAATAATGTCTGCAGTCGGGCTTCTGGATCGTGGAATCCAACTCTTTGCTCCATCTTAACAGTTGACATTGCCTCTACCACGCAGACTAGCAGGCTCAAAAAAAGTAATATCTGGACCTACAGAGTCTCAGAGTAACACAGATTGTCTCGATAACGAGCAAGGAGAGAGATTTATCACCCCTCTTGGCCTCTTGTGCACTCACAAATAAATGAAGTATGGCGGTAGGCCTGCAGCATCTTGGGAGTTGTCAAGAAACGATGCCACAACGTTGCCTCTAGCCACAAATACAAAATTGTGCTGCTTTGAATGTAGAAAATCATGATTTAATTTCCAGTGACTCCATTGTGTAAAGTAACACACCACAAACAGTTAACGGAAATTGGCAGAAATTCTCAGATGTCCTTCAGCTCAATCATCTTGCGCCGGATTTGCTTGATGTCTTTTTGGACTTTTTTAGTTTCCAATTTCACCTTTGACTCTTGTATTAGTTGGAGGGAATTGAGAGATTCCTGTATTGCTTGAAATCCTGTTGAAGAATAAAAAAAATGATGCGGTTTATATTTTAATTAATCACCGTAACATAAAACCTCCAACACATTATACGCGACTCGCTGTGTACATGCGCTGAAAGCAGGAATAGATAAAAATTAGTTCTATTCTTCTAATAACACTAAAAATACCAGCACCCTTTTATTTCCCTTCCACCCCCACGTTAATCTAAATGAAGACAGGCGATTTGAATAAACCAGATTTATGGATTTTGAAAATGGAGGGATTTTGTGGGATATACTTAAAAAAAAAAGTCATATTTTGCCAAAATACTCCCCTAACTAAAGAAGATTATGACCACATTATTAGCAAATGACAAGAACCACTTTAGGCACAGAACACATCTAAAAAGGCATTTAGCTGTGTTTAGAGCAATTTATACCCTCTCATGTAAGCGTTACCAAATCTGCCTTCAGATAAATGTGGCATTTTCTTGGGTAAAACTATTTATAAACTATTGGGATGTGTATAAAATCGTTTCTGTTCTAAAAGTGGAAAAGGGAGTGGAGTCACCGCACCAGTGGCTAAGCTACACATTCACCTTCACCCGGGGGAAAGAATTCAGTTGGGCGCCCCTTCTTTATTCTATAAAGTGCAGGCGGCCGGTGCATGGTGGGACATCTCCCGGCCTTCCCAGCAGCCACCAAGGCTTCTGAAATTATTGTGTTGTGTGTAAGGGGGGGCTGCTTGAGGTCTTTGTGTGTTGTGTTTATGGTGAGGCTGTGCGGGAGGCGACTTTATTATGAAGACTATTTTCAGCAGGTGACTTTGAAAAGGTGAGGGGTGTGAGTGTGACATAGTGAGTGTGGTAAGTGTGACAGGGTGTGTTGCATGGTGAGGGGTGTGAGTGTGACAGGGTATGAGGAGTAGGTATTATAGGTAAGAATGGGGGAGTGTAACATAGTGAGGCGATGAGTGTGGCAGGGTGAGGCGTGTGAGTGTGAAGGTGTTTGGCAGGGTGAGGCGTGTGAGTGTGGCAGGTGAGGGAGGGGAGTGTGACAATGTGATGGGTGGTGAGTGTAACAGGTTGTGTGTCAGAATGAACAATGGTGAGTGAGACAGGGTGACGGGGTGTGAGAGTGACAGGGTGAGGGGTGTGAGTGTGACAGGGTTATGGGTGGTGAGTGTAACAGGTTGTGTGGCAGGGTAAGGGATGGTGAGTGTGAGTGATGGGTGGTGAGTGTGACACTGTGTGTGGCAGGGTGATGAGTGGAGAGTGTAACAGGTTGTGTGGTACGGTGATGGGTGGTGAGTGTGACGGAGTGTGGCAGGGTGAGGGAGGGGAGTGTGACAGGGTGAGGGAGTGTGACATGGTGTGTCGCATGGTGAGGGTGGAGAGTGTGAGAGTGTGTTGCATGGTGAGTGGTGTGAGTGTGACAGGATGACTTAGTGATATTAGAAAGCATTGAATTGGCTGAAATACATTCTGATGGTTTCAGCAAAGAGGTAGATCAAAGGCCGGGCCAGCATCGGCAGACCTGCAAGTTGCTGAAAATAAGGTGAGTTTTATTTCCTTTTAAGGGGGCTAAGGGAGGACAAGCTATCAAAATTGTTTTAACACTACAGGATCAGGAATATACGTTTGTGTTCATGGCCCTTTAGTGTTTCTTTAAATAAATCATGACACGGTGTAACATCTCATATGTTGTTATTCTTTTGAGGTTGTCTGTATCTAATTTTAAGACCTGCTAAAGAACAGATTATTGTTAATCTGTCCTGATATATAAAGCCATAGACTTCAAAGAGGCTGTACTTTATTTTCCCTGTGGCTGTATATAGATACTATGAAATGTATCTCGATTTCCAGGCAGCAAAAGAGTTAGAAATACACATTGAGTGATTTGTTCCTTAACTGAATGTTTTAACTTGGTGTGCAGCTTGTTAAGGCAAAAGGAGCCTGTTTTCAGGAATCCAAGATTTACAGGGCAAGTTACAAAGTCCTTGAAGGTTGTTATAATAAGTCTTATTTTATTTGTTACTGTTTAATGTACTTTCTAGCAGGTGCACTCAATCCTCTTGAGTTTAATGTGCCTATGACGAATGATTAGCTTATGATCAATTGCTTAGCCCAAAATGCATCGCTGCTCTTGGTGTATAAAATTTCTGAACTATTTCTCACCGATAAATGCACCATTGACCTTGCTGGCAGTTTTGAGAGTTTCCGAAGTTCTGCTTTTTTTTTTTTTTAATTCAAGGCACGAATACTCTTAACGATACAGTGTGTGGACAGATAGACGTATGGAACATTTAAAAACAGGCTCCAGCTAATAAGACCGGGTCTATGAACTACTCGGAATAATTTCGATATTTAACCTGTCTGGCACAACACAAAGCAATGTTCCTCACCTGCTCTGTATTCACTTTTCATATTCTCTAACTCATCCCAGATGTCTGCTTGGGATTTTATCATTCTTGCCGCCATTTTGTTGTTGGCCTGTTTCTGGCGGCCGAGCTTGGACTCCAGTCTCTGCAACTCATCCTTATCGTTTATTTGTATGGTAATGTGATGTAAAGCCTCCTGAAACTTGGTATCTGTTGCATCCTGTAAAATACATGGTTTTAAATTTAGAAAGCTTAAATAGGTGACAGCACATTCTGAGGAATTCATATTGTACCGAGATCTGTTAGACTGCCAATCCGATTGACAGAGAGAAAAGATCTTCTACTGATCTCACATCAGCTCTGAAACTAAACAGAACATGATTTATTGAATTTTGTATTTAAAGGGATACTCTAGGCACCGTGACAGCTTCAGCTCAATGAAGTGGTTTTAGTATCTTGGGTCCCTCGCCACCATACATTTATTCAGTGTTATTATTATTGGCACTTATTTTGTTAAACCAGTTTTAATGCTTAAAGAGAGTACGCAGCTGTGCTGCCTGGGCTAGTGATAAAGCAACCTTATTCAGTCTTGAAAATGGTTATATGAGCTACAATGTCCCTTTAACCCCTTAAGGACCAAACTTCTGGAATAAAAGGGAATCATGACATGTCACACATGTCGTGTCCTTAAGGGGTTAAGGGCAGGCATTTCTACAACTTCGTGAATCACAGCAATGTGGCGACTGAACAAGCAAAGTGTTTTATTGTATTCTATGTTTGTTATGGGGTCGGTTGGCATTTTCTTTACAGCTACACACTGCAATCACTGCCCTGCTCCTGTGCCAGCCCTTCCCTGCTTCTACTCAACTGCCAACGTGCTCCTGTAGCCAATCTCTGACAGGTCTCATCTCCTCTGCCTTCTTAACAGTTATCTATGCATTTATATATTTATGTGTTTCTTTTTACTTGACATTAACAATCATTGTAGCTGGTTTTACCCCTTAAGGATGGAGGTAATTCTCCAAGTTCGAAACCAAAACAAAACCTAGTGTTTAGTCCACAGTAATTTAAAGGGACACTATAGTCACCCAGACCACTTCAGTACATTGAGAGTGGTCTGGGTGTAATGTCCCTGTCCCCTTAACCCTAGAATTGTAATTACAATGCGATACTAGGACTGTCTGCATGAAGACATCCAGCGTCCGTAAAATCCGTATAGGTTATTAAACCTTACAAGTATATTGCTAGGAACGCAGATATGTATTCTTAGCACTATAGTATCCCTTTCAGGGGTTCTCTTTAAGTACCCATATAACATTATATATTGTTTGCTAAAGAACAGAAAGAGCTTTCTTTTAATATCCAATTTTACACCTAACACAACATTGAGTGTGAATAAAATGTATAACCCGTATATCTAACACTCGATTCCAAAATGAGAAAGAGATACAGTGACATTGCAATATTTATAAATCATCAGCATTATAGTGTAACTATAGTAACAGTGATGTTTTAATAAGTCAATCTAATCAAGGTTCCTATATCAATTTCAGCCCTTGCTCCTTCCGCTGGTAAGTTATGCCAGTTGTCTACTACTTCTGTCCCATCCGTAAAGTAACATTTTCTAACTCTTGAGAATTCCATCTTCATACCCACTTAATCTGCTCCTATTTTTATTTTTTCCCTCCTCAGATTAACATAACTGCGGTTTATAGTTGCATTACATCACCCTGGCAGGTGACCTCACGGTCACAGAGAATTGTAGAATAAATTAACCAACATTTCCCAATCACAGAGAGAGATTTGACCATGTAACCTCATGTAATACCTCATAAAATAGTACAATTTTTATATTACCATAGACTTGCCCAAAGTGTCCTAGGTTTAACCAGGCACACCCTAATGTAGGACTGATGGTCTCCCTGTGCCCAGGCCAGCTTTGCTGGTAAGCGTCTATCTACAGGGACTGTCCCCTCCCCTGACTACAAATGGTTTAGTTTTAAGTATATTTTTAGAGAACATTTAATTTTGCTACATAGTAATAGCATTTTTTCCCCCACCTGTCTTGTGTCCTTCAAATTATGAATCAAGCAAAGGCGAAAGGTACGCCTGAGATATCTGTCCATACAGGCACCATATATGTAACTCCAGCCTTGTCGTCTCACCCATATTTAGGTTGTTTAAGGTAAAATGTCTAGCTAGTTATTTTGAAAAATAATGAATTTTTTACATTTTAACAAAAAAAAAAAAAAAAAACTAAAAACCCTTTGGGTGAAAGCGTTTCTGAAGAAAGGACCGCTATGAGTTGAACTCACCATTTTTTCCATCATGGAACTGAGAAGATGGTCTACATTCTGAACGCGCTCCTGGTCAGATCTCTGTAGCTGAGACTCGGTCCATCTCCGCTGATTTTGAATTTGTTCTTGAATTTCTTTAATTAGACTGCTAAGCCTGAGAACCACAATTAGAAAGTAAATATCAATATATACAGTATGTATTAACAATATCCACCTTTATCATGGAAAAGTGCTACTGGATGAGCTACCGTGAAAAATAAACGTTGGATATATTTTAGCATACATTGATCGGTTACTTTGCAAGGATCATAGCTCTTCATCTTAAACAATATTCAGGGCTGTAATTCCAGCTCAGGTGCCTGTAGGCATGGAATAGTTAGACACCCCATTATTCCTCCCACCCACCCCCAAACAAAACATTAAATATTATCAGTCATCAAGAAAGGCTGGAATAGGAAATTAAACCATAAATACCATTTTGGCCTAATGTAACAGCAGACAGAGAAAGTATCTACCTCAGGCTCGTAGTTAAAAGCACCCAGACCTCTTCATCTCAATGAAGTGGTCGGGGTGTAGAGGCGTTGGTCTCTTAGTTTTACCCTGCGATGGAAAGCAATGCTGTTTAGTAGATATGGCAATGCTTCGATTGCAGGGTTCAATATGCCTCTAGCAGCGGTCTACTTGACAGAGTAGAGTGACTTGAAATGAGTGTTGTGAAGTGTATGGCTGACCGAGTGTGTGTTGTGGCTGTGCATGACGCAACAAAGACTGTGTAGATGTAAAGTGGCTATAAGTGTTGTAGCTATTGTAGTGTAGTAACACAAGCTGTGTGTTGTGGCTCTGTATTGCTGACAGTGTGTGAGGTGACAGGGTGTGTTTGTGTGTACGCGTGTGTGGTGACTGTGTGTTTAGGCTTATGGTGGCTATAAGCATAGTAGCTCTAAGTGATGTGTGTTGCTGAGCGTGGGTACAGTGAGGGATGTGTGGAAGTAACTGAGTAATATGTGTGACTGTTTAATGGTAGCTGTGCCTGGTGTGTGCTGCTGTGTGTAGGTAGCTGTGAGTGATGTGTGTGTGGCTGTGAGTGATGTGTGTCTGTGTGTAGCTATGAGTGATGTGTGTGTCTGCAGCTGTGACTAATATGGGTTTATGTGTGGGTGTAGCTGTGAGTGATGGGTGTATCTGTGTGTTTGTAGCCATGAGTGATGCGTGTGTGGCTGTGTGTAGCCATGAGTGAGTCTGTAGCTGTGACTAATAAGTGTTTCTGTGTGTGTGTGTGTGTGTGTGTGTGTAGCTATGAGTGATTTGTGTGTCTGTAGCTGTGACTAATATGTGTTTGTAACAGTTTGTGATGTGTGTATTTGTGTGTGTGTAGCCATGAGTGATGTGTGTGTCTGTAGCTGTGACTAATATGTGTTTCCGTGTGTGTGTGTGTGTGTGTGTGTAGCTGTGAGTTATGAGTGATGTGTGTATGTCTGTGAGTGATATGTGTGTCTGTAGCTGTGACAAATATGTGTTTCTGTGTGTGTGTAGCTGTGAGTGATGTGTGTGTGTCTGTGAGTGATATGTGTGTCTGTAGCTGTGACAAATGTGTTTCTGTGTGTGTGTAGCTGTGAGCGATGTGTGTGTGGCTGTGAGTGATGTGTGTGTGGTTGTGAGTGATGTGTAGTTGTGACTTGTATGTGTTTCTGTGTGTAGGTAGCTGTGAGTGATGTGTCTGACTGTGTGCGGGTAGCAGTGATGAAAGAGTCGAGAGAGGCGTGTGCAGTGTGTGGGGAGGCTGTTCTCCCACCGCTTTTCTTAGGTAGAGGCCCAGTGAGTCAGTGTCCTGTCCCTGGTAGCCCAGTAGAGTCTGTGGCCGAGCTGCACTCCGGTCCGCGGTGGCCGGCCGGAGTGATAGGAAGGTGCACACTGAGTGTGCACTTCCTGTCAGTCCGGCCGGTTACAGGAAACAGAAACTCCGCGCGGAACAGGAGTTTCTGTTTCCTGTAACCGGCCGGACTGCCTATTCTCTCTCCAGCACTCGGCTCTCTGACAGCGCAAAGGAAGTCCCAGTGCAAAGGCCGCACTGATCACTGCTGTAGGGAAGGTCCCAGCGGCACACTTGGGAAACCACTGGGCACTTTAAAGATGGCCAGTGGTTAAATCCACACTGAGATGTCTCATTAACACTTGAACCATGAGAGAGAGCAAATGAATGGGATAAGATGGGGTTGGTATTTACTGCCAGTAGAACTTGCCATTTAAAAAAGAGTTAAAGGAGCACTATAGGGTCAGGAACACAAACATGTATTTCTGACCCTATAGGGTTAAAACCAACATCTAGCCTCCCTGGTCCCCGCATGCCTCCCTAAATATAGAAATCTTACTTGTATCCAAGACTGGAGCTGCTGGCTCTGCCCCTGTTTCTTTTAGACCTGCCTGCTGACATCATCAGAAGTGGTAGCCTGATCCAATCACAGTGCTTCCCCATAGGATTGGCTGAGACTGACAAGGAGGCAGATCAGGGGCAGACAGAGCCAGCATGATTCAAACACAGCCCTGGCCAATCAGCATCTCCTCATAGAGATGAATTGAATCAATGGATCTCTATGAGGAAAGTTCAATGTCTGCATGCAGAGGGAGGAGATAATGAATGTTTGGATGCATTTTAGGCAGCCATGACCCAGGAAGGATCTTTAGCAGCCATCTGAGGAGTGGCCAGTGAAGTTATCACGAGGCTGTAATGTAAACACTGCATTTTCTCTGAAAAGACATTGTTTACAGCAAAAAGCCTGAAGCTAAAGATTCCACTCATCAGAACAAATTCAATAAGCTGTAGTTGTTCTGGTGTCTATAGTGTCCCTTTAAGCTTTACGTTATTTTAAACTTTCACAATTTACACAGATGGATTAATTTACTAATTTCTGAATTGTAGCATTTTGAAATCTTAACGCCAAAATTGGAGCAAAAATAGCCAAGTTGTGCCTAAAGTCAAGTTGGTGAATTTTTCCAAATGAATTTATTTAAGCTGAAATGCTGCTTTTTGGATTTTAGCATCTATTGAATAAACCTCTTTTATACATTCCATAAATCTTAATGTTTCGAAGTACTAGGTAGCATCCATACGCATGGAATATTGTAGCAATTTATTAAAACAGTGAAACAGCCTCTATTGAGTGGTCAATATGTTGCAGTTTAGAATAGATTTCCTTTATTGAATCAATTTCTTGTTCTATGCCAACCAAGTCATTAGTCTTAGGCATTTCTATTTATTTTTTGCATAGGGCAACATTAATGTAATTACAATACGTACTTGAAATCTAGAAGTTGAATCTCATGGTGTTGTTCCCCTTGGGCGTTCTTTGTATAGCTGCTTTGCTGTGAAATGGAAGTCTCCATCCTTCCTAATAGCTGCATTACCTAATAAAAATTCAGCAGGGAACACTGTGTTAAGCCAGTCCATCAGTTCTTTTATTAAGTACGCACCACTTCCTCTGAGCACTCAGGAGAGAGAAAACATTCACTGGAACTTAAACCAAAATTTGCAATAACACTTGCCAGGGATTTCACAAACAGGCATGGCTTACACAGTGATGGAAAGGAAAGTGCTGCGTCATTGTATTTCTTAATAAACTCCTTGCCCTAAGAGATCTGAGGACATCCGTAAAAACAGAACTATATTCTAAACAACATAATCTGTAAATATAAAATAAATGACTAAAGCAGCCATTGTATTTTGATTGTAGACACAATGAAGAATCTTTCACAGATTTTAAATTGGTAAAATATTTGCCATTCTTCATATTAGAATTACACAGTTACAATGTTCTGATCCGAAGGCTGTCCTTTTTTTGGTCGTGAGGAATAGTGAGTAAAATGCTATAATGCCACTCGGCAAATCAAGGCTAGCCAGGTACTGTCATGCAAAAAAAAAAAAATAGTATTAACTACCACTGGTTCCCACACAAAGCATCATGTAAAACATGACAGAGGTGTGTTAGAAACAATAAGGAGAGTGGATAATTTGTAAGTGTTATTTTAAGCTTAAGATAAAAGTTACAAACATACAAAATTAAGCCTCGCGCTAAAACTCCCATTATTGGGTGGCAACAATGACTAAAATATACATCAGCCCCAATACATACAATAAAAAATAAATCAATCAATTTAAAAAAAAACAAAAAAAACCTGTGCACTAGTCCAAATGCACATTTAAATAACTGGAGGTTTTTTAGGATCACTCCCCATAGCCATTAAAGTGTAAGCTCATATGCCACGTCAGGGCAAAACCTCTTAGGTGAGTCCTACACTAACGATTCACTTTACTTCTTTAAGCTGAAAGTCAAAATCTCTAATGAGACAGAGATTTGAGAGCTGTTGCCCTTTAGCAGAAAGCAGCAAGTGAAAACAAGTTCATTATTATTAACGCTGTTGGGGCACGAGTTTGAAATCACTCATCAGGTGTTTAATAATAAGCAATTCAATCGTAAAGAGTAATAAAGAACACTCGCCAGCAGGTATTCTAACAAATAGACACATTCTGAATCCATTAAATATACAATGGAAATTATATTATATATATATATATATATATATATATACACACACACACACACACACACACACACACACACACCTTTGTTGCTGTTCACTGAAACTATTTAATTATTATTTATAACAAGAATGAAGTCCGATTATTTTTTTTTTTTTATTTAGATATCAGTTTACTACTGTATATTAACCACTTTACTATTACCAGTTGTGGTTACATGTAAGTGTTTTACTTACTGATATTGGTCAAAGCATGAAAAGTGTTGCCTGCCAAAATTAGAATACCTGTTCTGCAGGTGATAAATCAATGTATCAAAGTAGAAATGACCTTGAATATTTGTGTTCCCTCTTGTAACATGATCATATGAATAATGTAGGGCAGCACTTTTTTTTTTTAATTTATCAGTAGTCTTGGAGATTTGTTTTGGTCTGAATTGAAATTTGTCAGAATTCTGACCGACTTGGTGTTTTTATTCCCAATACAGCTCTATTTACCTACAAATGTTCAATTCACTTGTCCGTCTCCACGTGTCCCAGTTTAATGAAAATGCCTACGTGTATCCTACAATAAAGTCTTCAAAACTGCTTCTAAATAAAAACCCATTTAAAATCTATAGAATCTGTGTTGATCCAATTAGATTTGTGCAGAAATCCTTTACACCTGCAACAATCGAATAATATTCCTGTTCATCTATGCCCAAACAAAATCCATCCATTCGGGATTCATGTGACAGATCAATTTTTTGGGCAGTAGATTAAAATGAATTTTATTCATTCATCTCAGGTGACAAGGATTTGTGCACCACGTCTAATATTCACGATAAAGGTGCAGCAAACTAGAATACTTCATCACATTAAAAATCTCTCTTTCAGAATGGAGAGGACATGCACTGCAGGCTAGGAACATTTGTTTTAACGGAGGGGCTAGATGTCTTGTTTTTACTCCAAGCGTTTGTCTGGTTAACATCACTAGTGAACAGATCTCATTGTTTGGCATATAATCGGTGACAACTTGAGGGGATCTCCACACATTTGTTGCCTGTGTATCCATTTATCATTGGCAGCAGTCATAAAAGTGCTTAAAATGGACAGGTGTTCACACCAAAGTGTCTACACTAATGGTCTTTGTAGATTTATACACTAAACAAGAAATTGTGGACAACCGGCATGGAAATTGCAAATGTTAGGTCAAAGGAGTCATGCTAAAATAAAAACCTATAATAATTCATAATAATTCTCTGATTATTTTCTAACTGATCGATTTTAGGATAAATTAGTTCATTCTTGTCAATTCTCCAAAATTGGAATTTAGTTTTGAAAAAAATCCATATTGACATTATGGTTTAGTATCCTTTAGAACCAAGTAGTGACCAATAGATCGTGACGGTCAGTCTGCCAATACTCATCGTTTATAAACAAAAGTCCTGTATATAATGCTATATTAAATCAATTGTCCAGATGTGGCTATTTGCTGTATTGGCCGTTCGAATGTAGCGCTCTCTTGAGAATGGTATGATGGGAGAAGAGCAAAAGGAAGATAAATTCGGATTATGCAAAGTTACAAAATGTTTATTTTTCACTAAATTGTTCATACTTAATAAACATTTTCAGGGAATGAAATGCTATAGATGGTATACAGTGGGCGTTATCTTGCAATATTTTACACAGGGACTGCATACTCGCCCATCTAGCCTGCTCAACATGCACGATGGAGGTGTTCAGGAAAAAAAGCGCAAAACGCGCAGGGGGTCAGACCCATCTGTGAAAGGTGATGCATAGAGCGTTTCCTATCCCCTTCTGCTTTTTGAAATCTACCAGGCAGATTCGAATTGCTGTTCATAACTGAGACCGTGGGACAGGTCTCCAAAATGTGGGACAGTCTTGGCAAAATCTGAATTGTTCGCAAAAAGACACGGTTTCTCACATACAGTAGGTGTGAAAAAAAAAAGATAAATGAAAAAGGTAAAAAAGCAGTACAGCCAACGGATGGTATAAGGAATGTCTGCATTTGAGCATAATATCCACAAACAGTAAATACAGTTAAATCATATAATTCAAAATTAAAGGTATTAAAATATTCTATAGAAATTTTTATCACTCTCTAGAATGCCAATAGAATGCTAGCAGTAAAATGGGAAAGCCAATTCAGTCCTCCCCCTCTCTGCCTATGGGAATGTTAGGACACATTGAAATGTCCTGTATTTCATTTTATTTGGAAGGAGAAGGTAGCTGACATTTTCAGCAAACTTGCAGACATTAAATAAAGGGCCATTACCTCCTAGCAGAGAAATGTGTTCATCTACAGGCTGGTACCCATTACTGGAGTATAAATGAGGGTGAGAGGCTTTAAGGATTAAATTTCATTTTACAAAGAAAGAGAAATTAAAAACATGTTTACACAATTTTAGGAGGGAATAGTGACCCTAGGATTGTGCCTAGCAAAAGCTGCCTAGGATTGTGTGTGTGTGCGCATGCATTGTTGTGTGTCCGTGGTGTTTCCCTTCCCCCACTCAATATTTCAGCTTATAGACTGTTTGGCAAAGTAACACTCTGCGGTAGCATACTGCCAAGAAACTGCTAGAACAGAATAAGATAAAGATATCTTAGAGACAGCGACTTAAAACAATCTGAACACCTTGGAAGTTAGGACAGATAGGATGGACAGATAAACTGAAAAATATCATAATTTGCAAAACAGCATATTTACATTGTATATAGTAAAAGAGAACATTGTAAAAAAATTAAAATGTACTATAAGTGAAATTAAAATCTGATCACGAAGAATGAGGTTTTAGAGAAGAAATGTAAACTCAGCCCCCTCACTATGTGAAAGAAATATCACACACACAATGTAACATATGGCTGCAAGGGCTGTGATCGTACACACATCATTAATCTGAAGAATGGGTGCACTCTTACAACTCTGCTTCCATGGAAGCTATTTATTTAAAAGAAATACATCCAGACTAGCATTTTTTGGAACCATATATTTCCTGGTCTTGATTTATTTCTCATTCCGTTTAATTTCCCCTGCCTTCCTCCCTCGTTTCATTCAACCACACTAACCTTGATATCGATCTCCTTTATATGCGATTCTAACGCTGCATTCATGCTGTGGATTTCTCGCTCTTGTGCTTGAATCTCATTTTTAGTTGCGACCATATCTCCTGACAGTTTTGCGATGCTAGCATCACACCTGCGATCCAATACATAACATTTACATTGTAGCATTATTTAATAAGAGCCATATCCTATTATAGTGACATTAAAGTCATAGTCTCTTATTACATTCTATTATTAGACGTCAAAACAATTTTAGCTTAATGAAGCAGTTTTAGTATATAGATCATGTCCCTGCAGTCTCACTGCTTAATTCTATGCCATTTAGGAGTTAAATCACTTTAGTTTCTGTTTATGCAGCCCTAGTCACACCTCCCCTGGCTGTGATTTACACAACCTGCATGAAAAAAATTTTTTTTCAGAAGTTAACTTATTCCTGTTCTGTAAATTGAACTTTTAGACTATATAGGAACCTCCTGTGTGTGATCAAAGGATTTAACAGAGTAGAATACAGGACATTCTAGATTAAACAGAATGATCAATAAAGGAAGTATAAACATTAGATCTCTTTATACAGGAAGTGTTTAGAAAGGCTGTGTAAGTCACATGCAGAGAGGTGTGACTAGGGCTGCATAAATAAAGGGATTTACTGCTAACTGGCAGAGAATTGAGTAGTAAGACTACAAAGGTATGATATATACACCAAAACTGCTTCATTAAGCTAAAGTTGTTTTGGGGACTATGGAGTCCCTTTAAAGAGGAACGGTCAGTACTGTGGTATTTATACCATAGAATAAACCATTGAAAATCACCTATACTGTAACTTTTTTTATCACTTCAGTCATTTAAGAAGTCCCTGGAAAGTCATCTCTTCAGGCAATCCTATAGGCTTATTTCTTAATTCTATCTGCTGCCTCTCCACTAGCAACGGCCTGGATTTAATATTTTTGGATAAGCTTTTAAAAATAAATGAATCCTCAATAACCTCAAAATAATCTTTTTTCTTGTTATCATTTGTACTATTTGTTTTGTATTTGCTAGTATATTCTCACATTAAAATTGTGAAGCAATTGACTGTCTATAAATAATAATATAATAATACTTATAATGTGATTCCACATTTTAAATGTGTATTAAATGGAGACTAAGCACCACAAACCCTGCAGCTTAATGAAGTGGTTACGGTGCAGTGAAACGGTTCTTGCAAGCTCAGCAATATTAACACTGCATTCTCTCAAACAACCACTAGAGGTTATTCCTTATAGTGTGTGGCAATATCTGACATTCAGCATGTGATGCTTACTGTTCCACATATAGATGCATTAAGCCAATACACCTCTAGGAGGAGTTGCTGATTGGATGCATTGAATTGGCTGATGTCATGGTCACTGGTGATCTCAGCCAGCCTTGTTGAGACTGACACAGCAATGGATTAAAGGTAAGTAAAAAACCTGTTTATTTAAGTTTGTCAGATGGGCCCACAAGTGTGAATAGCCCAAAGATTATTCTAACGTTAGAAATACATGTTTTTTTATTTCTAACATCTTATGTGCCCCTTTAAAGATTTAATATTTGAATTCACAAACCAGTTCAGATCCAGAAAAAAAAGAAGAGAGTAAGTTTTTGGTTCTCCTCCTCTTTCTATGGTAAATGACAAAAAACAAAAAGGCAAAAGGCAGAGTTTACATCAATGACTGACAGGGAGCTAAGATGGATAAGACAGAACAGGTCTTCGGCACTAGACTACATCTCCCATAATGCTTACAGCCTTAATGCTGGCATAGCATCAGGGTATAGTAGTCCACAACACCTGGAGTGTCAAAGCCTGCCTAACCCAGGTAAATACATTAGTACAGATTTCTATATTCATTTTATTTTTCAGACCTCTCATACGCTCAAAAACTTATTTAAACACTGGCTAAAGTTACATTATACTGCTAAAAGCCATGATGTATTCTTTCTGCATCCCATCCCTCCATTTAATATCAATGCAAAATAAAATGGGCAACATCACAGTCTTAAATTAATCCAAATTTATTTATTTTAAATTAAAAAAAAATAAAACAGTTCAGTTCTGCAGTCAAGCCTCCTTAGCAGAAGTCTTCTGTCACAACAATAAATGTCAGCTGGACTGATTATTTAATATGCTTTTTATTCAATTACCTCTTTTCTCTGTTGCCAGCAATTAATTTACCTGCTTGAAAACCATTCAACAATTTGCTAAGCAAGAAAATCTGTATATGGTCTTTCCACTTGCTGTCAAGCTACAAAAAATATTCTCTTTATCAAACTTGGGGGTCAATGTAATATTATTTTAAAAAAAGCTAGTTGAAATGGAGTTTGAAATTTAGCAGGTCAAAATATATGGGAAATGAGCTCAATTTGCAGAAGAAAACTATGGGGGGAGTGAAGCAGAGCTGGAGGAGAGAGTAGAGTGCTGCCCTTTAGGAGAGAGAAAACTATGGGGGGAAAGAAAACTATGGGGGACGGGTGGGGTGAAAACTATGGGGTGGAGGGGGAAGGTGAAAGAACACTATGGGAGAGGGAAAGGGGTGAAAACACTATGGGTGAGGGGAAATGGGGAAAGAACACTATGGGTGAGGGGAAATGGGGAAAGAACACTATGGGTGAGGGGAAATGGGGAAAGAAATTATGGGTGAGGGGAAGGGGGGGGAAAGAAACACTATGGGTGAGGGGAAGGGGGGAAAGAACACTCATGGGTGAGGGAAGGGGGGAAAGACCACTGGGTGAGGGAAGGGGGGAAAGAAACACTATGGGAGAGGGAAGGGGGGAAGAACACTACAAGGGTGAGGGAAGGGGGGGGGGAAAGAACACTATGGGAGAGGGGAAGGGGGGAGAACACACACCATGGGAGAGGGGTGGGGAGAACACTCATGGGAGAGGGGAAGGGGAGAAGAACACCATGGGAGGGGAGGGTAAAGAACACTAAGTGGGAGAGGGGAGGGGGGGACCACTATGTGAAGTAGGGGGGAAACACCAAAAAGAGGGAGGAGAAGGACACTGGGGAGAGGAACACAAGGGGGTTACTAAGGTACAGGGAGGAAAGGGAAAAGGAACACTGGGGTTAGGGGGTACCTAAAAGAGAAGTGAGAGGAACACCAAGGAGGGGGATGGGAAGAACATTAGAGTAATTGGGGGGCATTAAGAAAGGTAAGGGGGGGAGAGGAACAGTAAGGGAAATAAAGGGGAGAGTGGCACACAGGGGGGCCTGAGTGGGGAGAAAGATGCACAGATGGGCTGTGGATGAAAGCGACACACAGAAGGGTCTGGGGTGGAAATACAAAAGGTGGGGGTGAAAGAAACAGAGGGGCTGGAGAAGAGGGAAAAAAAGAGACACAGAGGGGCTGGGAGAAAAGAAGGAGACACACAAAGAGGGTGGGGGAGTAAGACACACAAAGAGGGTTTGTAAGATATAAAAGTAGGTGTAAGACACCGGATGGGGAAAAATAGGGGATAAGATACACTAAAGGGGGCAAGACATTTAAAAAAGGGGATAAGAAACAAAATATGGGTTAAGAGATACACAGATGAAGATGCTTTTGGCGCCAAAATCCTCTTCGCACCGGCCCTCCCTATCACTATCCTGTAACACTCACCTCCTCACTCTACCACACTAACACTGTAACACTCAACCACTTCACAGGTCATACTAACCTTTGCAAACTCACTCCTCACCCTTTAATACGCACCCCTCAACCCTGTCACACTCATTATCCCTCACCCCGTCACGCTAACCTTGTCACACTCACTCCTTCACCCAGTCACACTAACCCTGTAACACTCATTATCCCTCACCCTGTCACGCTAACCTTGTCACACTCACTCTTTCACCCAGTCACACTAACCCTGTAACACTCACCCCTCAACCTCTTCACCATCATACTCACCTCCCCTACCCCTGTCACACACACTTACTAAACCTGTCACTCACCCTTCAACCTTGTCACACTCACTACCCCTCTGCCATACTAACCCTGTAACACTCACTTCTCAACCCTGTCACACTCACCCCCCACCCTCCTACTCACTGTACAACAGTAATGGTCATACACAGTCACCACCCACACATGGAACACAGCCTCACCCATACAAAGCCCACAAGCAGTGCATCCTACACAAAAAACTACCTCACACACATACACTCTCAAACACAGACATACACACAGACTCAGAGACACACATACACAAGGTTACTCAGACATATACACAGACACACTCAGTCAAAAATACACATATACACTGTCAGCCCCCCCACCCCAATCTATTCTCAGCATCCTCCAGCATCTGCCTTTACACATGCTTTCACATAATCGACTCTCAGTCAACACACACCACTCACAAACACAAAGCCCAGGGCTCTAGGAGGGAGCCAGACTTGGGGTCCATAATGGAGGCTTGACACAATAAAAAAAAAAAAAAAATGTATGTAATCTTTCATATTAGAGTCTTTCCAAGTTTAATAATGCCTGCCTACCCCATTTAGATTAGTAGGTAATCATGACTAGTAAAATGCAAGTCCTTCATATTTCGGATTAGTGTCAATATGTTTTAAGGAGACAATATAGTGTGCTTCTAGAGATATGCCAGCATTCCGCATTCACCAGACTGTGAAATGTAACAGACCCGAAGATGTTTTTGTATATTAGTTGCAAAATGTCTAGAATTGTATTTACTTATTTTCTCTCAGAAATTTGCAGTTTCAGAGTAACTGATTTGTTGACTATAACAAAAATACTGGTAATTATGTGATCACAAAACCAAAGTGTCAGATGCAATGCAAATGATGCTGACCTTGCCACTCGACCGCGTAGATCCCCAATGTCGAAAAGATGTTTTTTGTCCAGACTTTGCACTGCAAAACTTGTGCCCGAGCTTACATTATCTCTGCTTCGTATTTGATTTTCCAGAGCCTACAAAAAACGCAAAGAAAATGTTAATCGTTTGGCCAACACAGACAAGAAAAAAATAAATAAATGTTTGCACAGTTTGCCTTGTGGTGTCCATGGCTTATCAATCACATACAATTACGCTTTCAAAATGTTGCCTCTTGGCAAATCTTTTGCTGAGATAAGAAAGGAAAATATGCTAACTTGCAAAGCTACATATTAAATAAGCAGAAAATGCAGTTGATGGAAAAGACAGCATTAAAACATGGACAAAATGACACGAATATTCATCACAGATGTGAATTATGATCACACCTAACTAGAAGCATATAATAACCACTGGAAAAGCGTCCGTTCACCTCCAATTTGTAACAGAACTTAGAGAGGTGTATAGAGCAATGATATCATGATTTTATCAAAGATGAATATAGATTTTTTCATTACTAAGCTGTTGGTACAAAATACTGTAGATTAAAAGAGCGTATTTAATTGGCCACCATTGGACTTCCTCTATACGGTGTTCTACATTCACCATTCCAAAGCGGATGCCATATTTAGAAATGTGGAAAGGGGGTGCAGTCAATGGCTGGCTATTATGATTATTGGTATTTATATAGTGCCAACAAATTCCGTAGCACTTTACAATATTATAGGGTGGGGAGATTTAATAATAAATGAGACAATTACAAAAGAGGACCCTGCTCAAATGAGCTTACAGTCTATAAGAGGTGGGGTGTAAAACACATTAGGACAGCTAATAGCAATCAAATAAGGTGGGAGTGAAGCAGAGCTGGAGGAGAGAATAGAGTGCTGCCCTTTAGGAGAGAGAAAGAGACAGGGATGTGAGATAGAGGTTACTCTGGGAGGCCATAAGCTTTCCTAAAGAGATGGGTTTTAAGGCATTTTTTAAATGATTGAATACTACGGGACAGTCTGATGGTGGTAGGCAGGCTACTCCATAGGAAGGCGATTTATGGAGATCCTAACCAACGAATATAGAGCTCCATTATAAAACCGGTGATTGCAAAAAGCATCCTACACCAATGTGAGTTGGAAATCAAAAAAAAGTGAGTGTTTTCTGTGCATATTTGTTTCAGTTACATTGCATTCTGGGAGAGTTGCGTACAATAATGAAGTTCATTCACTAAACTGGGGATATGTATAACATTGAGAAGTAGATTCCAAAATAAGTCTAACTATTCAACTTGGGAACATAGATGAGAAAGGGGAATTTTTATAGTTATCAGTTCCCGTCAAGTTTAGAGGATAACCCTGAAATGTTTCCAAAGCTGCTGTGCCCAAGGTAGAATTTTATTTTTTTTAAACAGAATTATAGAATTACGATCTGTATAAGAAATACATCATTTATGGGGGGGGGAATAAATCCTCATTTCTCAAAGGTGACTGTGGATATGTGGCATAATTAACTCCTTATTAACTCTTCCAGCTCCTAACATTTCTTATCTTGTTGCTACGTGCAATACAGTCCTTTCATTAAACTTTATGTCACATTATCAGGTATTGGCATTGAGTTAGAAAAGGAAATGGACTTTTGTTCAAACGTATTTTTACAAAAAAATCTTAACAAAGCAGTATGACAACGTGGCTCACATTGAAAATTGAGGCACAAATTGTTTCATAAATATTTTATTGCATCTATTTCATTATTAAAAGGAACCTGTAGCGGATATAGGTGCATATTTGAAAAATGCCCAAAGCAGCCATCCCTTGTATTTTATGACTGTGTTCATCTTTTGTTAATTAAAAAAAAAAAAGAAAGAATTCTGAATTCTGTGCCCAAACTGAAAATAAGATATGTATTATCAATGCACACATTTGGAGGAATAGTTGTTCATTCCCGAGCCTGCTATTACTACAACCCATTTTTGTTCTTGATGCCCTATTCAATGGCAATTTCTTCCCCAAGTCTGGCTCACACTTGCTGTTCAGGTCTTTGTGAGGAATTCGGGATCCCATCCCCCATTGAGCAGGAGACAGCATAGTTCCTACATCTAGTGTTCTGAACCTCCATATATGTTGTGCTGCAGCAAGGTCACTTTCTTCAATACACATTATTGATAATGGTCATGGGAGGGTTGGCATCATTTGGCCAAGATGGGCATTCTTTTTTGACTCCTACACGTCTATGTGATTTATTTCATACCTCTCAACAATGGTAGGTATGAGCTCAGTATAGGTGGGTGGGCCTTCAGGCGGACATCTCCAGTGATACGAATCACTGGCGATGTCCATAATGGATGGACCTTGCAGAGAGCACTGCTGAAGCATTCAAATTCCATGCAGGCCCTAGTGCGTGTTCACAGTATGAGTGCGTCTAATGATACGCTCTCGCTGTGAAATGTGTGGTCACTTACCTGATGTCCTCAGATGCTGGACACAAGGGAACTTTATTGGGTCAAAATCTGGACTGTTCTGCTGAAGTAGGGACTATTTGGGGAGCAGTCTTACGCAGCACATGTAATCAGGGCCGCCATCAGGGGGTGACAACCGTGACTTGTCACGGGCCCGGCGGCCCTAGGGGGCCCGGACTGCTCTGGCAGTCCTGGGCCCCACTTTCCCTTTCTGCACACATAGATAGCGAATATCGCGATCCATGTGTGCAGCCGCGGGCCCCCGGCTCCCTGTTACCGCAGAGGGGGCCCAGGCAGCACACAGCTTCTCCTTTCCTCTCTCTTCTAATAACTCTTGCGAAACCCGCGGAGCGTTGCCATGGTAACCGGGTCTCACGAGAGTTATTAGTAGAGAGAAGAGAGGAGAAGCTGTGTGCTGCCTGGGCCCCCTCTGCGGTAACAGGGAGCCGGGGGGCCCCCCCACCGGACCACCAGGGATGGAATCTCCCCCCTCCCTGGACACAAGTAAGCAGGGAGGGGGGATTATCATTTAATTAATTTAATAGAAAATTAATGTTAAAATGCCCCTTCCTCCCCCTCAGATCACACATTTACACAACACACACTGCATACACTAACACAACATACACACACTGCATACACTAACACAACACACACTAACACAACACACACTGCATACACTAACACAACACACACTGCATACACTAACACAACACACACACTAACACACACACACACACTGCATACACACTGCAAACACTAACACAACACACACACTAACACACACACACACTGCATACACACTGCATACACTAACACAACACACACACCATACACTAACACAACACACCACACACACTAACACAACACACACACTGCATACACTAACACAACACACACACTGCATCCGCTACACTAACATACACTCTGCATCCGCTACACAATAACACTCTCTGCATTCACTACACATTAACACTGCATTCACTACACTAACACACACTCTGCATCCGCTACACACTAACACACTCTTTGCATTCACTACACATTAACACACACTCTGCATTCACTACAAATGTACACACACTCTGCATTCACTACAAATGTACACACACTCTGCATTCACTACAAATGTACACACACTCTGCATTCACTACAAATGTACACACACTCTGCATTCACTACAAATGTACACACTCTGCATTCACTACAAATGTACACACACTCTGCATTCACTACAAATGTACACACACTCTGCATTCACTACAAATGTACACACACTCTGCATTCACTACAAATGTACACACACTCTGCATTCACTTCACTAACACACACACTACATTCATTACACTGACACACTCTGCATTCACTACACACTAACACACACTCTGCATTCACTAAACTATGCACACACTCTGGATTCACTATACTGACACACACTCTGGATTCACTACATTGACATACACTCTGCATTAACTGTACACACAGCATCCACTACACAAACATCCTGTATTCACAGTACACACACTACATCCACCACAAATTGAAACACTTTGCATTCACTATACACAGACACTGCGTCTAATACACACACTACAGACACTGCATCCACTAAACACATTTCATCTAGTACATACAAACAATACATCCACTACACAAACACACACTACATCACTGTACACACACTACATCCACTACTCAAATACACTCTGCGTTCACTATACACACTGCATCCGCTACACAAACACACACACTCTGCATTCACTGCACAAACAGTATCTAATACACACAAACACTACATCCATTACACACATTCTAATTCACTTCCACTATACACACACCACATTCACTCCTGCATCATTGTGGGCGGACTAGGTAGGGCGTGGGCAGGCCCGGGAGGAGGGGGGGGCCTAGACCTTGTGCTTTGTCATGGGCCCCAAATTTTCTGATGGCGGCCCTGCATGTAATATGTGGGATTGACCAGGGCCGGCCTTAGGGGTGTGCGAGCTGTGCGACCGCACAGGGCGCCATGGAACAGGGGGCGCCCTGTGGCCGACACAGCTCACTCATGGCCGGAGGGCAGGGGAGCTAAAAGAGGTACCTGGCTGGAGGATTAATTGTTCTCCACCCGGGTCTATTTAAAAAAAAAAAAAAAAAAAAAAATCGCGGCAGAGGGGGCGGGGTTTACCGAGCGGTGGAGGCGGGGCTTATCGAGAGGCGGAGACGGGGCTAATACCTCCCGAAGCCCCTGCTGTACAGGAAGAGGGAAAGATGCTTCCCCATCAGCCAACTGCATCCACTGGAAAGAGGTAAGTGTGTGTGTGTGACTGTTTGCCTGTTTGTGTGACTGTCTGTGTGTGTGTGTGTGACTGTCTGTCTGTGTGACTGCCTGTCCTTGTGTGTGTGTGTGTGTGTGACTGTCTGTCTCTGTGTGTGTGTGTGACTGTCTCTGTGTGTGACTGCCTGCCTGTGTGTGACTGTCTGTGTGTGTGACTGTCTGTCTGTGTGACTGCCCATGTATGTGACTGCCCGTGTATGTGACTGCCCGTGTATGTGACTGCCCGTGTATGTGACTGCCTGTCTGTGTGACTGTCTGTCTGTGTGACTGTCTGTCTGTGTGACTGCCCGTGTGTGTGAGACTGTCTGTCTGTGTGACTGTGTGTGTGACTGTCTGTCTGTGTGTGTGACTGCCTGTGTGTGTGACTGCCTGCCTGCCTGTGTGTGTCTGTCTGTAACTATCTGTCTGTGTGTGACTGCCTGCCTGTGTGTGTGACTTTCTATCTGTGTGACTGCCTGCCTGTGTGTGTGACTTTCTATCTGTGTGACTGCCTGCCTGTGTGTGTATAACTGTCTATGTGTGTGTTACTGTGTGTCTGTGTGTGTGTGTGTGACTGCCTATGTGACTGTCTGTCTGTGTGTGTCGCTGTAGCTGTGCCATTGTTTGTGCCTGTGCCTGTATGTGTGACTGCCTTTAACTGAGTGTGTGTGTACATGCCTGTAACCGAGTTTAAATTTCCCCCACCCCTTCCTGTCAAGGCCGCACTTTGACTGACAGACGCTCACTCACTGACAGACGCACACTCACTGACGACACATACACACTCACTGGCGACACATACACACTCACTGGCGACACATACACACTCACTGACTGACACATACACACTCACTGACTGACACATATACACTCACTGACCAACACACACATTCACTCACAGACACACACACATTCACTTACAGACACACACAATTACACACTTACAGACACACACACACACACACACACACATTCACTTCAAAATAAACACTCACAGACACACACACAGACATTTCCACTAACACTCACAAACTAATATTTTTTACATTTATTTTAAATCCACCCAGCCTCCCTGGGAAAGCTGGAGTGGATTTCTTACCAGCAGTCCAGTGTGGCTGCTGGGCAGGCAGGCAGGGGGCGCACAGGCTGAGTAAGCAGCGCTTAGTGATGCCGGGAGCCGGACTGACGTCATATTCTGGCTCCCGGCTTCATTAAGCGGCGCAGAGGAAGCTGAGCAGGAAGAGCTCAGGTGAGTATGCTCCTTCGCTGCCCGCTGCCAGCCTTGGGGGGGCTCAAAAGTGGCCAGCCGGTCAGCTCTTGAGCCCCCCAGGATGCGAGGCAAGCAAGGGATCTGCCTGGGGGTTTGGAGGGATGCTTTTTTTTGCCGCCCCCTGCAAAGTGGCGCCCAAGGCAGATGCCTTGTTTGCCTCGTGATACACACGTCCCCGGTGCCTGTGTGTGTTACTGTATTCAGGCAACTTGGTGGGAGGTGGGGGGGGCGCCGTGAAGACTTTTTGCACAGGGCGCCTAATTGCCTAAGGCCGGCCCTGGGATTGACAGATGGAGGCTGCTGGAGTCGGGACCTATGACATTATTAGTATGCAGCTTCCATCAATATGATCTGTACAACATGACCGGACATTCCCAGAAATCTCTGTGATTAAGTGATGAAAACTCTGCTTAATAAAACGTTATTGACAGCAATGTCGCAATCCACAGCCACTCCCAAACTGAACATCAATTTCCTACAATTTATAAGAAACAAATACATTTTAAAATGTACAAATCTTATTAAGCACAATATTAAGTAAACCATCAAATTACTGCATGCAAGATGTACAAAATATTGATAGATGCAATATGAATCTATAGGTAGTGTGACGGACCGCTGGCACTCCAACTGAGTACCTCCGCCAATTGATGCTCCTAGCGCTTGCCGAGGACTCAGAGCACTCCAACCAACACCATCAGAACTGCGGACCCCACTTCCAGCGATGCAGCTGCGCAGGGGTCTCGCCGTCTTTCACCCACCCTGGATCCATGACCAGGATCCAGCTCCCAGTGGGTGAACCTCTCTTAAATCCAGAGTGCGTAGCAGGAACAAATCAAGTTCTTATAAGAGCTTACTCTGGGAAGTAAGTGATTATAGCAATCCCCAGAGTGTAGGTATCCATTCCCCCAAGCATGACCCAAGGCTTCAAGAAAGGTGCAAGTAGGTCTGGTTTATTGAGGGCTACCTGCCCGGTATTTATGCAAGTGTCCACCAGGTAGACACGCCCCTAGGGGACCTGATGGAACACATATTGGATATTAGCCAATCACAGACAATACAAACAAAACACTCCCACAGTAACATCACAATCCCTCCTCTCTATCCTGGAGATAATTGGGAAGTAATCAAATTATCTCCCAGGACAGAGGCAAAACTCCATTAACCACATGGTTACAAATATACATAAAATTACACAATGTTACAATTACTACATAAAACATATCCCCAGATAGCTTAGATCTGAGCGCACATTATTACCGAATGGCGCTCAGATCCCATACATACAGTTCAATCGCCATGGAGCCAAAGTCTTTTCCATAGTCTTTCATTACACGAATACGCTACATGGCATAGCTATCTGGGTAGCACTACTCACATACTGAAAGTCCCGAATTCCCCGGCAGAAATTCACAAATAAACCTTTCTGCAGGGTAAAATACAGCTATCAACACAGGGGCCATAGTCGGAAGACAGGAGGCTAGTCAGTAGTCCCCTCCAGGCACAAGTGGCGAAGGGCACTTGGTCACAGGTAGTATATGCCAAACCCAAACTTCGTCAAACCTCTCCAAAATAATGGTAATCGTGTGTAAAATAGTCAAACATACATCAAAATATTATAAATAAAAAACAGAAAATTGCAAGCAAACAAAAATATATACTAGACAACAATACAGTGGAATTCAGTGAGAAATGGACAATGCAAAGTCCAACATGACCAATCCACATTTTTTTCCAGAAAAATACTTTTATCGATCATCCTTTGACGATTTATTAATTCATATTCTTATTGTTTGTACCAATTATTGTTTTGTACGTTAATACAGATTGCATACGATTATGATACTTTTCCATAAAAATTTCAATCCTTGACATTAAATTTGCAAAGGTTAGGCACTTTAAATAAATAATAAATTATAAATATAACAGTAACCCAACCCAATGGTTAATCTTCAATGTGATCACCAAATGAATTGAAAAATCTAAAGTAAAGAAGGGTGTAATGCATATAATAAAGTATGTATATTAATATATGCCAACAACTTTTGTACAGTGTTTTAATAACAGTCTCTGTAAATCACTAGATTTTCAGAGAACTGCCTAACACCATTTGTAATGGCTGTCACTCAGATAGCCACCAGAGGGACTTCCTGGTTGTAGTCCTGCAAAGATTGTTGGACTAACGTTTGTCAAACTCTCCCCATAGAGATGCATTAAGTCAGTGTATTTCTATGAGGAGATGCTGTTTGGAGTAGCATGAGTACTAGTCCCCAAAGGGCCCCCATGGGATAGTTTTGCATTGGCAGAGCATTGATGGTCTCAGCCAAGTAAGAGTGGCGGCTGGTGTGAGACTGGGGGGTGGGGAGAAGAAGAAGAAAGAAGTGGAGTAATAAAGTTACTTTTTATTATTTAAGGGGGCATTAACCTAAATAAACTCTAACGTTAGAGCGTTCTGTAAATTACAAGAAAATATAACAACTTTAGTATAAATCTGTAATACAACTCCAATTACTTGTCAACCAACCCTCTGATGAGAAACAAAATATGTTAAATGATATTGTGATACTTTTTATTTGAGATTTTGGTGATAATCTTTTGTTTATGTATAGAAAAAAATCGTGTCATACTTTTAAATGAGATTTTCTAAAATAATTATATTTAGGGAAGATGGTGTTAAAGACAACATGCATTTGAACACAATAAGAGACAGATGTAGACAAGATTGTCAGAATCCCATATTCTGTGAAAAGTCAGGGGGATGGAACAAGTCAGACAGACTGAGCAGAAGGCTGCCGTGAAGATTTTGGGTCTACAAGCTTTTACATATTTTTGAGCATGTTAATGCAAGTTGTAATTAAAACATTTGAGTGCTCTATTAAATAATTTGTTAACTTGTACTTATTTACATCTCTGTCTCATAAGAAAATTACTATCAAGAACAGCTAGCACTCCCATTGGGCAAGGCCAGAAGGTGCTAAAATTAGGGAATATTTTTAGTATGCTTATGTCTACAGCCAGAAGAGACTCTGCGTTTGTGAATGTGTCTTACTAGAGGTAGATAATAAGTCCTTGTGAGTGTAATGTTGACTTATACGAATATATAATTTTTTTATTTTTATTTTTTTTAACCACCACTAAAACTGATTACAGGAGTTGGTTTATAAATATTATTTATATATAGATACACAATTTTATACTACTCAGTGTAGCTTTTTTTGTTTTTTGAATCTATAAATATTTTCACATATTTATTGGCTGATAACCCTGGTCAATTCATTGACCCTTTGGGATCTCTGTACTACCATTTTAAAGCGGCTCTGTTGTGTTGGGACTGCTCCACTGGGTGTCCGGTGACCGTGGCTTGCAGGGGAAGCTGAGCTATACTTACCTAAACCTGTCCCTCGCAGCCATCGCCATGGTCTTCCTGCTGGTCCTCTTCAATTCCGGATGGTTCAGATGCCAGGGGCCCACATCAGTTCTGCACTCTATTGCAGTCCTCCACGGGATCTCCACAGACAGATACTTTTTCCTTTCAGCTCTGGCTAGTGGTGGTTGGGAAAAACAAAACTTGACAAGGCATCAATGCCTTTTCTCACATTTTGTCAATCACACCAAAATTACCGAGTATCCCCTACTTTGTCTTATGATATCGAATCCAAAACCTTCCTGACTCTTCATGGAATTTAGTACCCATCTCGAAGATTCCAGTATTCAGGCATTTCACTGATGAATATTTTTGGGTAAAAAAAATAAAAATAGTGATGGTAGACCATACATTTTATATTTAAAAACAAAAACAAAAAAAAAAAAAAAACCTTCCTTAACACATTTCAGAAGCTTTGTTTGTTTCTGAAATAAATGTATTTGTTCAATCCTGTCTCAGGATGCGTGGGATGTAGTAGAAAAGAGACTGCTTTGATTGGTATTGATTGGACAGAAAATACTCGAGGAGATATTTCCATGCATTGCTGCACATCCTAATACGTCTCTTCTTAACATCAAAAATTAGAATTTCCAAATTCTATTACCTTCTGATTTGAGTGCATTGCTTGTCCCCTATTTATACAGTGCCAACAGATTCCACAATGCTTTCTATTTTAAATAATTGATACATTTCTAGTCTATTAGAGGCTCAGGGTTACCAAAAAAATACATCTACATATTTTCACATTTGTAACCAGGTTAATGCAGATATAGTTCAGATTTAATTGTTTTTGTTTTTTTTTTAAACTTAAAAGGCTCACTAAACGCATTAATATGTGAGAGAGTTAACCAGGTGACAATTTGGCTAATCATTAGGCGCAGCCTCCGGGATGTTTTTGCAGACATAGTTATTGGAAAATTGTGTAACTTTACCCCTGGCTGTGGGCAGTGCCTGGCTACCTTGGTGTATTGCATCGTAAGGTCAACAATACGGAAACAAGAAGTAGTTATACCATGCTCTTTTATTCCCAACAGAATCTAAGAGAAAATGACGCAACTTTTCTCGGCTCTGATGTACATGTTCTGGGCATACTGGAATGATCAACCATTCAGATGCCCAGGTCATTGCTCTGGTTTTGCTCCTGGCATTCCCAATAGTACATTCTTCATTCTGTCTATTTTTGTTTTGGTATTTGACCTGGCTTGCTCCCATGTTCTCTGTTTCTTGGTTTTTCTTTTTGCCACCTTCATCCATCTTGATTGATTGATTCTGCATATTGTGCAATCAGTTGACCTCTGATTGATCCTGACTCTTTTGCAATCGGCCTCTCTATGTATGGAACCACGTTAATTTCCCCATTATAAGGACTGGTAACACGTATCTATACTGCATTTCCTATTTTGGAGATAGTATTTAGATTCAAGTCTTGGTCACTACAACTACTTTACAAATGGATTCAAAAGAAAACAAATCTCAACTCCTCAGTTTACAATTTGAAAAACAAGCGGACTTATTGTTATTAAAAATGTTTTTATTGCAAAACTACAATGACAGAATGGAACGCAATATAAAGCATTTATTTCACTTCCTTCTCTAAAATTAACAAAATCTATGCAATGGCAGGAAGACCAAAAGAAACGATAACAAGTTAAAGGACCACTCTAGGCACCCAGACCACTTCAGCTTAATGAAGTCGTCTGGGTGCCAGGTCCAGCTAGGGTTAACCCTTTTTTTTTTTAATAAACATAGCAGTTTCAGAGAAACTGCTATGTTTAAAAATGGTTTAAGCCTTCCTCCAAAGCCTCTAGCGGCTGTCTCATTGACAGCCGCTAGAGGCGCTTGCGTGCTTCTCACTGTGAAAATCACATTGAGAGCACGCAAGCGTCCATAGGAAAGCATTGTAAATGCTTTCCTATGCGACCGGCTGAATGCGCGCGCAGCTCTTGCCACGCGTGCGCATTCAGCTGACGGGGCGGATCGGAGGCGGAGAGGAGGAGGAGAGCTCCCGCCCAGCGCTGGAAAAAGGTAAGTTTTTACCCCTTTTCCCCTTCCAGAGCCGGGCGGGAGGGGGTCCCTGAGGGTGGGGGCACCCTCAGGGCACTATAGTGCCAGGAAAACAAGTATGTTTTCCTGGCACTATAGTGGTCCTTTAACATAGTTAACTTTGGACCGAGTTAATTGACAGCTGATGGATGTCCTAGCCGAATGAGTGATGATGTCACCCAAAAGGTGATACAAGAATACCCAGATATACACTCTGCAAAGTTTATTTTATTTTATTTTACCTTTTTTCTGATGGGGGTGACTGACCACATCTGAAGGTGAATGTCCTAGCAGGTTTCTAATCAATGACCTTAGAATTATAATGTCCCAAACGACATAATCAAAAAGAATCACAGCTTGAGTTAGGTCAGGATATCATGGAAGTTTAACTGCATTCTGGGCAGCAAAGTTACATGGCCCACGCATTGACTGTGCTTTGCCTTGGCATTAAGAAGGGCATTGTCAGGGTACAGAAAGGTGTGTCTTCTCTCATCCTGTACTTTTAAATCTGATCTCTGTATATCCCCTCTGTTTAAAAAGATAATGAAGAAGTCAGAGAAGCGTATCACTGTGTAGAAGACAGATCTACATGCCCGCAACTTTTAGCTCTAGAACAGACTTCCTCAAACTCCGGCCCTCCAGATGTTGCTGAACTACAACTCCCATGATTTTATGAATGAAATAGATAGGTTGAGAATCATGGGAGTTGTAGTTTAGCAATATCTGGAGGGCCGGAGTTTGGGTGAAAGTTTTCTGTTCAATATAGTATATTTAGCCTTTTTGCTGCTAATCTGTGGCTTCTCTAGATCCCCTCATGTTCCCTGGGTAGGAGTGAGACATGTTGCAGCACCATATTACACTGCCTTTCTGATTAAAGAGACACTGTCAGCACTACAATAACCTACCCTCACTGCGTAGCCTATGATGTGGGGAGATCTGTGCAAACTTTTGGATATTCTCAGAATGTTTCACCATTTGCACATTGTTAATAATTACCAAGGAATCACGGCGCATATCTTTATGGACTGAGGAAGACATCTAGTGTGTCTAAACGTTGCCTTTTTGTTTTGACACACCACCATCATACCGGATTGTTGTGTGGTGAGTATTTCAATGATATCTATAAAATAATTTTTTCCCAACCAGTATAAGATACACACACTTCTGTTCACTTGTTACATACACATTATCAGACTTGTTCCATATTTGTCTATAATTACAGTATAGAATTTTGCCATTTCAAATTTTTTAGATTTACAAAACCAGAAATGTTAAGGAGATCTAAATTGTGCCCCATTTACAGATCTATGAAACTCAGGTCAGATCTCTCAACGTTGATACAATTCCTGCCCATTTAAAAAAAAAAATATATATTTTTTTGAATTTTTATTATTAATCATCTTTATTTATCGTCAGATAGCGGCAGGAGTACACCAATTGGCAGTCTTGCATAAAACATTGCTTGCCCATGTACCTCCATCCCAACAGCAGCCATACTAAGATGGGGGAGGGACAGAGAGAAAGGAAAAATTGAGAAACAGAGACAGAAATAAGGAAGAGTACAGAAGACTTCAGAAAATTACTTTATATTCCACATGTTCCGTTACCTCGATATCTCTGCTGAGTTGCTTAACGATCTCTGTGACGGTCTGCATGTGGTTTTCAAGAAATCTCTGAGCCATGGTATCCCACTGCTGGCCACGCATGCCACGCAATTTGGAAACATCATCTTTAATCTTGAAGGCCTGGTCTAAAAGAATCGTAGTGGTCTTCTCCTGATTAAATATCCGGTCTTCTATTACCTCGACTCGAGCTGTAGGGATTGCTGGCAGGAAGGATTGTCCCCTGTCATTGAAACGGTTATTTATCAGAAAATGCCTTATTTGATGGAAGCAGTTAAAGAATGTATTTTATGATAAAGACTTGGCACTAAGGTACCATCAGTTTCCAGTAAAATGAAGTACATTTATGTAATTATGGCAGAATAATTCAGTAATTCGTTTTGCTTTAATACCATTTATTACATGGATTGGGATAGCACTTTTTTTTTCCTTCTATTAACATGATCACATTTACATTAATAATGTTAAGAGAAAACGTAAGTATAGAGAGTTCCCTTAAACCACACAATATTTTTGGAAGAGTTTTTCAAAGGATTTAAAAGGACCACTATAGTCACCCAGACCATTTCTTCTCACTGGGTGCAGTGCTTGTAATTTTAACCCTTAAAATGTAAAACACTGCTTTTATAAAAAAAAAAATTAAAAAAAAAATTATATATATATATTTAAGAAACAGGAATGTTTACTTTGCAGGATAAAACCCACCTCTAATGCCTGTCTTCGGGAGGCTCTGTCAATGCACTGGACAAGTACAATTTGGTCACGTGACGCAGAAGCTCACAGGAAAGCAATGGATTCAATGTTTTCCTATTAAGCATTGGATGCGCGCAGTGCTCGCTGCACATGTGCATGGGATCCCCACTGGTCCTCTATGGGGAGTGTTGGATTGGTCCATGGCCGAAGGAGGCCATGCCTACTCCATGATATCACAGGAGGTGGAGAGTTGAGCAGTGCAGAGGGAGTCGCAATGTGGGAAAAAAAGTAGTATAAAGCTTAATTTTATAAAATGTATTGGCAAAGGGTGAGAGAATCTATGTATAACTAGGGACAAGGGCACTGTAACGTTAGGAATAAAGGTTTGTATTGCCAATGCTATAGTGTCCCGTTAATATTTTTGATAAACCTTTAAAATAGTTTAATATTTTCAAAAATATTAAATCATTTTTTTAAAATGCATTAAAAAAAAAAAAATATTAATTGAGCCCATTGTCGGTAAATATTTGCTGTAAGCAATTGTTATTTGTAACAGCCGGTAGATAATTGCTTCCATAAAGGACTCACAGGTTTTACCCCTGCTTTTAATGCCTGCTAGCCATTAACATCTACTTTACCTGATACCGACCACAACATAACATTTACTGTTTTGCAAAGTGGGAAAAAGGCGCATGCAAGTTTTAACTACATACGCAATACTCCACTAGGACAAAGTTCACGTTAACACTTTCAGTGCCACAGGGAGGAGCTGAGCGATGCACTTTTCTCTCCTTCCATACTAAATGGCTCATTAACATATTAACACATTAAAAAAAGAAAAAAGAAAAAAGTTTTTTTTTCTAAAAAGTGGAGTCCCCGAGAACCCAATAATATTTTGTAGGGTCCTATAGGGTGGTCCGGACACCTTTATTCACCCCAAGGACCGCGAGATGAAGGATAATTTATCATCTCAACAAATTAGTCCTCTAAATCATCCAAATGGGGCCTTGCGATTCCTAGTCTCCTGTAAGAGTGTTAACTCTTAGACAATAGGGGCCAGGAAATGCCAAGTCTCATTGGCCAAATGGGACCAGGAGATGCCCAGTCTCCTGACCCCAAACCTGTTATGTCCCATAGATGGGTTAACCTTTTTAATAGAAAAGGGGCCAGGAAACAACCAGTCTCCTAGCCATGCTATTAGTCCCATTAGGTCTCCAGGTGTCTCCAAGTCCCTAGTCAACACCCAATAAATGTCCTTACCTAGTCCCTCACGTGTACTCACAGAAACATTAAATAGCCAGAGGAGGTCCAAATATCTCTAAAATATATTAAAAAAAAAAAAAACAATAATACTTACCGGTCAATGTCTTTACTTAAATTATCTTTCTCCAGCCACCAAAATAGGCCCCCAAAAATTCCATGATATTCTGATGCAAAGTAAACAATTTTACAAAAACTACTGGCATCACACAAAAATTCTTACCTCCAAACAAAAAATCCTCTTCACCCTTCAATCTAACGTTTACCCTACATACAGCGCTCATGGCTTACACTTAGTCAAACCCTACATACAACAATCATACCTTACACTCTACAGTCACACCCTACATACAGCACTCATGGCTTACACTCTACAATCACTTCCTACATATCACATACGTAGCTTACAATCTGTCACACCTTACATACAACACTGTTACCTCACACTCTACAGTCACACCATGAATGCATAATTCACACCCTACACTATACAGATATTACCCACAGCACTTTCACTTCACTTTCTATCCACAGATTTTACTTTTATAGAGTTGGGTGTAGAGGACACCTCACAAAATGATGTGCCTACATTCTCCGGAGATATAAATTTAGTACAGACTGTGAGACAACTAGTTATGGGTTTGTGAAGATGTTTAAAGTGTGTAGAATTATTGACCCAGCAGATACGCAAAGGGCACATACCTTTCGGGGTACGTTAATAGTTGCATGCTGTTTTCTCTTGACATTTCACTGGTTAATTTCACTTAAATGTATTCCTGGATAAAAGATATGCACATCCGTGATCTGTGCTCATAGACGAGAACTAGAAAATCTCTATAAATGGAAAAGAATCGCTGTTATATGACTAAGCTACATTGTATGCTTTTAGATGCTTTCTATCAATGGAACAATCGATAATATGTACACAGGTAGCTATCATCAGCCAGAGTTATAAAGGTGGAACAATCCCCATGGAAACCAGCGGAATTAGCAGGAACAGTAAAGAAGTACACTTCAAGTATCATAACCACTATAGCCTGATGTAGTGGTTATGGTGCCCAGTGTGCCATGCCACACTCCCAGAGTAAATTAGCAAGCTGTTTAAGAATGATTTTGCAACTTGCCTGAGCCCCCGGAGCACCTTGCCACATCTGGCTTCCTCTGGTATATGAGAAAATGGATGTTCCCCTGAACGAAGCTTGCCCCAATTATCCCCTAAACAGTTAGGGTTCGATTCCGGTCATCATTCCCTTAATTTTCCCTCCCTATCCTGTTTTGCCACTTTTGAATGTCCGAATTGCTGGAATTTGTGCGTATTTAAAGTCAGACCGAAACAAACTGCACATGTCTATTAGCAGCAAGTATATATCTAGGCCTCTTTCCTTCGAACCATCTCCCACATGGAATGCTAGAAGACTGTATTAAATTGCACCTACCATGGAAAACTGACTCCGTGTCACTTTAGAGGGAATATAATTACACTGATACATTGTTTAATCCACATTCTTACTTAATGCAAATTTAAAACCTAATTCCTTGATATATATTTTTGTTTTACCTCTTTAATTATTCACCACTTGGCCATTATGCTAATGAGATAGCTTAGTGGTTAGTGCTCTAGATGCATTTATATATGCCTGCTGATTGTAGTTGCCAAGTTTACCTTTGTTATCCTTTTCAATGTCAATAAAATAAATACCATTAAACAGAACACTAGAAGCACCAAAACAACTTTCATAGAGAGTTGTGATGTATAGATAATGCCACTGCAATGTAACTGCTCCATTCTCTGCCATTTAGGAATTAAATCACTTTGTTTATACAGCTTCAGCCACACCTCCCTGCATGTGACACAGCTTTCTTAAACACTTACCACAAAGAGATCTTGTGTTTACGTTTCCTTTATTGCACAGTCGGTTTAATTTAGAATTTATTCTTATCTCCTGTTCTGTTAACAGCCTTCTAGACATTGCAAGAGCCTCCTGTGTGCGATTAAAGTTCAATTTACAGAGAAGGCGATAAAAATTTCTAAAGTAAGTTGACATATGATTGAACATTAAACCATTTTGTTTTCATGCAGGCTGTGTGCGTCACAGCCAGGGTGTGTGTGGCTAGGGCTGCAAAAACAGAAACAAAAGTGATTTAACTCCTAAATGGCAGAGAATTGAGCAGTGAGACTGCAGAGGCATGATCTCTACCCTAAAACGGCTTCACTCAGCTCAAGTTGTTAGATGTCCTTTTAAAATGGATCATAATGTATGGATAATAAAATGTATACTGCAGGACAAGACTAAGAACTAGCAAAAGCTAAAGTCATTTTAATGGTTACATGGTATCAGTCTGTATTTTTTTTAATATATATTTCTGTTGATTTACTGGTTAAATTCAACACAGTGTATAAATTCCATATAGGTGAACTTGCCATCAATATATTATGTGGGTGGCAGGTAGAGCATATTTTAATCGCTGGTAGAAAAGAAACATGACGATTTATAACCTGATCAATTATTTTATATAGCTGTAACATAGGGTTAGAATAAATTAATTCACTCAAGCAGCAGTAATCTGCCTAGTCACGATAAAAACAACTTTAAAGCAGACATTTATCTTCTCCCTAAAGTAAATGCACGCAGTGTGTACATTGACAGATTAATAGATAAAATATGGTATACATTGAATATATTTTCTTAGGCGGAACATATTCTTTAGATGAAATTGAATTACACTGAACTGACACTGCATTGCGTATAAAAATAAGGGAACAGCCAGGATCTTCTCTATCACCCTAACTTTGACACATTAATCTACATTTAAGGTAGCTTTCCTCTGAATATGAATTTGATTAAATCATCAAGCAGTCGCTTCGTCAATCGCATTTACGTGAAGCAGAATAGAATGTAAGAGAATATGCAAACTGCTTTATTTGTGCACAGCCAGCTGAACCAATAAGGGGTTTATTCACTAAACTGGATTGCTAAAATCTACTGTTGCTGTCTAATTTTCACAGATCTGTTTTCAATTTAGTATTATTCGCTTAGTCCGTAAAAAACAGTTCAGCTGAAAATGTAAGTGAACTAGCAGAAACGCCCCCACCCCCTGTTTGATTATTCACTTAATTTAGTTTGTTTGGTAATCTAGCTATTGTCCCTGAATTTGCATAATTCATTTGCATTTGTCTTTTTCTAAAAGCTAAATCTCAATAATTATTGCAGTTGGCCTACTTAACATCAACTGTATTGTAAGCGAATTACCCCTGAATTTGTCAGGTTCTGAAGCAGCTTTAAGAGCGTTAGATCTATATCCTATGATGGAGAGAAACTGAACATTACCTTGAAGTACGAATGGCTGCATTAGTTACCATTGAACACTAACAGGGCTATTAACTAAAGTGAGAATTTTAAGGAATTGAAGTGCATTTCAAATTTAAGACCAAAATAGCAAAAATGGAAGCATAGCCCACTGTAAATATTTCAGATTTTGGTATTTTGACCTTAAAGATCTGCTCTCACCATATCCTATGTCTCTGAAGGGAAGGGGTTAGTGTGAGGGTCCCTAGGACTTTACTAATGAGGGGAGAACTACATATGCTCTGCTATCAGCTTGTGTCCAAGGACTCGTGGACCTTGATCCATATTCTGCCATCCCACCAGCCAAGGAAAGTCCATTAACCCCAGCATTATGTAGACCTATTCGCATTAACATAAATTGCCAGGTGTGTGCCAATTGCCCATAGTTATGAAAGTAGCAGGTATGCTTCCCCCTAAGTACAGTTCCCAAGGTGATGTCAAGTCACCTTCTAGATCAGGGATAGGCAACCTTTGGCACTCCAGATGTTGTGGACTACGTCCCCCATAATGCTCGCAAAGCATCAACGGAGGTGTAATCCAAAACACCTGGAGTGCCGAAGGTTGCCTATGCCTGGTCTAGATTATAATTTATATAGCAACCAAACATAACTTAATCATGATACAGCAACCACATATAATATACCATCCCAAAAAACTAAAATCTCAGACTCTATTAAATAATTAACGTTTAGTAGTCAAGAACGATATGTATATGCTGCAGGGCATCACTCACATTGACCTAGACCTGTAACCATTTCCGTACCGGAGGTGAGCTCATCATTCTACAAAGCAATGTGTTGAACACAACCCTGGCACTCGAAGGGTTAAGCCCAAAACAGATGAACATGCTAATTCGGGCGGTTTGTGTGCAACATGATTTGTTAGCTCATTCTCTATTTAGAATGTATGACCAGGTAAAAATAAATAAATAAAAATGGCTAGTATGCTTTTCACTGAGCCTTAGTAACACAACCAGAAGGGAGTTTCAAATTTAATACAAATTTGCTGAAACTGGAAGCATATCTGTCTTGGAGACTTTTTTTCCAGTCCAGCTATTAAGTGAAATTATAATCTAGACCAGTGAAATTTCCAATTTACTGTGGATTCACTTTAAATTCTAAAACAAATCTCACTTAAGAGACAACCGACATTCACAAAAATGTCAATTTACAGAAAAGCAAAGTTATTTAAAAAAATTAGACGAAAACAGACTGAAAATCTAGTTGGCCGTGAGAAACTATTTGTCTATTTTGCCCAAAAAATTGAAAATCACTTTGACTTCCCAACAATTCACATTTTTAGTAAATAGCGAAGACATTAATATCTCTCCACCCGTTTTAACAGCAGTAACTTTGCACTTGTTGCAAAACTGCAGCTTTTATTATATAAAGATAATATTATTAAAATAGTTCTTACCTAGAAATGGTCTCTGGTCACAGGTAATAGCTGCAGCCACAGGTCTGGGCAGCCAATGCTATATTATTCTATCAATCTCTATCCTGGAAACATTCCTTAAATAGTAAACAAAGTAACCAAACAGGCACAAAGTATTGCTAAGTATTACGCCCTTGCGTAATCACCCAACAGCCTGTTCTCCAACTTACTCAGATCCAAATTAAGATAAAGAACTGTTATGTGGATGTGAGTTGTTTTCAGTAAAAATCTGTCATATACATCAAATATAAATTCATTTTCACCTTGGATCTTAATGTTTGATCATGTCATTTTTCACATCATTCCCATTCACACACTTGCTGGCTGGGATCAGATTTCACATCTCACTTTGCATTGCTCCCTCCTTCTGTGTACACGTGTTACTAGGCTACAGGAATGCTAAAGCCTTAAATCATTTGTGTTTTTTTATTCAGTAGCAGGAAAGTCTGGTTAATAATGCACAAGCCTTGAGAGCTTATAAAGACGTAGGGGCTTATTCACTAAACACTAAATTGCAGTGAGCTGAAAATGAACCAGGGTTATTCAATAAAGGGAGAATTCAATCTTAATTCAAAGAGAATTTAAAATGAAACGCCTACGTGGCTGAAATGAAAGTGAATTTTTCCAAATCAGCTATTTTGATCTCGTATTAAAAGTTCACTTTAAATTCTCACTTTACAGAGTAATTCACTAAGGTGAGAATATAAAGTGAATTGGACATTTAAGGTAAAAATAACCAGCTATGATTTCATTAGAGCTACTCTGGCCCTAAATTTGAAATTCACTTTTAATTCTCAGGTTAGTAAATAGCTGATATGGGGAATAACCGCCATGGAACATTCTGCTTGTTACATGTGCAGTGCCTTCCAATAGTATTTATAAAGCAATAATTACTTTGTGTACAATTAAAAACTGCACTGCAGTCACCTGAACGTTGCAGCCTAATACAGTTCTGGTGTCTATAGTCTGTCACTGCATGCTTTTCAGTGCAAACACTGCCTTTTCTGCCTAGTAACACCTCTAGTGACAGTCACTCTGATGACCACTAGAGGTGCTTCCTGTGTCGGTGATGCATCAATGCATCTCTATGAGAAGATGCTGATTGGTGCAGTGTGGTGTTTTGCATTGCGCACAAGACTCCCAATGCTTTACCTATGGGAAAGGATTGGAATGGTTGAGATTATTAAATTTGATGATCTAAGCCAGGGAGGAGGGACAAGGAGGGGCCATCCACGGCGAGACCAGCGTGGCGTTGGAAAAAAAGTAAGCAAAGTATATTTTTAAAGGGAGGCAAGGGTGGCAGGTCACCTAAAGAGTGTTTTCACCACTATAGTGCATGTTTGTATTCCTGACACTATAGTGTTCCTTTAAGTAAATATACTTTCCTGTGATATTTGTTTTGCCTCTATAACAAATAGATGGAACAGACAGATTTTAATGGAACACTTTATTCCTAACTCTGTAGTGTCCATGTCCCTATTTATAGCAGTCCCCCCTCTTTGCCGAAATATGAAAAAAATAAAAATAAACGTTTTACCTCAGAGCCGCTCACGTTTACCTCCTGCAACATCATTGTGGTAGCATGTCCTCCCCAGCGACGGTCACATCAGATGTGATAATGGGCCTGGCTGGGTGCTTCAGCCATTTAGCAGTGGACTGGGCCCCGTTAATGCCGACAGTATCTGTGTCAGTGTTTGTGTGTGTGTGGCTGCATGTGTATGTGTATATGTTCATAGATCCCAGAATTCACATTCAAACATCAACACTACAAGCAAACACACTCTTGCAATACACTCTGTATTACTATGCCAACATTATATACAAACACAGCCCTGCATTCAAACACCAAAACTACACACAAAAACACCCCTTCATTCAAACACAAACACTAGATACAAGCTCACCCCTGAATTCAAACACACTACACACAACTACGCCACTGCTTACAATAGTAGTTGAACAGTTGTTGACAATAGTGGTTACAAGCACAATTGTATTCAAATACACTACACGCAAATAAACCCCTACGTGCACACAAACATACTCCTTACAAAAACATGCTTATAATCAAGCACACAAACACTGCCCACATATAAAACGCTGCAAGAATGGGAAAATGGTAGATTCCCTGCTGGCTTTGCATCGTCGGAGAAGTGAGACAGATGGGAATCTACTCTTTGGCCACCCTTGTGCTATGTGGGGTCCAAAAACATTTCTTGCAACAGGGCCCTCTCTACATTAGTTCCGCCACTGGTGCTATCATTTGTTATTTTGATGGATTGTTCATTTGTTTATATGCTTAATGTTATTTGCACTTATGTGTTATTACTTGTAATTTGTTCATTAACTGGGAAGACTTATTACAGTAAAGAGGAAATTGTGTGAATCACCACTAAATGTATTCTGTATTTTTATTAATTAACAAATTTATCCTTACAAAAACTCCTACATCAATAATTTAGCAGTTACAGGAAAAAAAACACAACTACTTGATAGATAACACCATTAGAGTGCTGAGTCTACTGATGGCAATGTTATAATCGCTTTAAAATCATATGGTGCTATATTAATGGACTAGACGAGAGGGGATGCCTGCGTCTTTTCTTACTTAATTTTCTTTAAAAACATAAGGGTTTATCCATTAGTGAATTATAGTAATCCAAAACATAATGGCTACAGTGGAAGAAAAATGTATTTTCTTTTCATCTTCTTTCTTTCTCAAAAAAACCACTACAGCCTTTTAATGTAAAGAATAAAAATGAACATATCCCTTGCACACACTAAATTTCCAAGGAAGGAAAAGCGGTTATATAGGTCTTGTCCACCTTGAGTACTCAGTAAGGACACACACTATGATGTGGTTGGGACTTGTAAGAAATTGTAGACAATAAAAACTAAGTACAAAACTTTTTTTTGAGTCATTAACTTTGCGACAGAACTGCTAGGTGTCTCTTAAACTGGCCTGTACCTGATATTGGTGCAGCCGATGGAGCTTCTACCCTGGACTACGAGGGGTCCAGCTCACACTCCACTAGAAAACTAGGGATCTTGCTCACACTTCACTAGAGCACAAGGGAAGGTAAGCAGGAGAAGGAGTAAACATACATACAAACAACACTCAGATTCCCTTACAGACACACAAAATTCCGCTAACACATACACAACACTCAACCGGCACACACATGTAGCCTCCTCCCATACAGCTCTCACCCTCCTCCACACACAATATACTCAGTCATCGCTCATAGAAATAGAAGGGGCCCCAGTCTGGCACCCTGCCTAGGACTCCTGGCAACTAATCTGGCTATTTCACTAAAGCAAAGCTGGGGTGGTTCCAAAGCCTATTCTCAGGTGGAGCACTATGCGAGATACCTTTTTTCCATATAAATATTGTATTAGCTGTTAAAAAAAAAAAACATCTGAGTATTTGAGAACATTTTGTAAAAGTGTCTGAGTGTTTTTTTAATTGTTTTTGGGGGCATTATTAACCTGTCTTTATTAGAAATGTTTAAAGGAACAATCCACTGAAAAAAATTTATTTATTAAAAATATGAATGATTAGAAATAGCCCAAAGAAACGTGCATGTATTTTGTTTTGCAAATTTTCTCTGATGGTATATGAAAGAATAACTGGCAGCGGCAGCTGATGTGATGTCTGAAGCTGTTGAAAATCCTCCTTTTACCCAGCAGAGACTTTCAGTTTTGTCAATCAGTAGCTTCTCATTTAGAATCCTCTGTGGTTGAGCCACGAGCTCAGGTGCCTTCCCATCAGTAGACTTCCTAGGCAGGAGCAGACTGCATTCCCGTGGACAGGGGAGATAAAGGCTGAAGTGCATTGGTGTGTTCCTTTAGTAATGAAAACCCACAGCCCTCTTAGCTGACAACAGAGACATAGAGTAGAGTAGAAAAAGAGCCTTTCTATAGGCAACCCATGGCATTTGCCATGTCTTACACGTGTTAGTGAAATATAGAAACATTATGACAGTTCTGACTCCAATGTGATGTAAGTAAAGTCAGTGTTCAGCATCATGGGGACGATAGCTTTGCTTGATGAGGTGTTCCACCCCAGGGCCAGTCACGTCATAGAGAAAGGAACTGGGGGGGCCCAGAATCCCTCTGTTATATAATGTATCTTTATAATAATTGAAATATTTGTTGTTGTGGGCCGGTGAGGGTTAGGTAACCTCCTGCACTCCAGATGTTCTGGACTACATTTCCCCTGATGTTTTGCCAGCATTATGGCTTTAGGAGCATTCGGGGAGATGTAGTCCACCTCAGCTGGAGTGCCGATGGTTGCCTACTCAGGCTGCTAAGGAGAACTTGTCATGGCAGGTTCAATGTAAGTCCTAAGACAACCCCGCCTGCCTTCCTCCTTTAATAACCAAAAAAGAAAATGTCAGCAAAGGTTAGGTAGAGAAAGAGTGTATCCAAACAGCTCAATGCAATCTAAATCGAGATATGACATCACTTACCTATCTCTTATTTTAGCTTTCTCATAATCAATTCTGTCCTTGTCAGTGAAGGCTATAAGGAACCTGTCTCTTGCTTGCTGAATCAAATAGAATGTTTCTCATAGTCTAGATCTATATCTTTCATCCTAGACTGCTTCTTCTTACAAGCAATTAGTCCTCTCTTACACTTAACCCTAAAAGTTACCGTTGTTAGTAAAGGAAATCTATAGAGAGGAGGCCAAAATAAGTGCTCTATAAGTTAAAGCTCTGAATTGAAGTGTTATTTTAGAGTCCCCAAATAAAATCTGATTTCTAATGCTTTACATCATTTGAACCAACAGCAGCTCTGATGGCGTTCCTGCATAGAGAAGAACAGGGGCTTCCTAATTGTCCATTTATATAATAAAAGATTTAATAATTTAATTCACCATAGTCGTACTATTCAACGCATTTTGTTATTATGAGTCTTGAATAGAGTTGAGCGAACCCGAACTGAAAAGTTCGGGTTCGTACCGAACATTACGTTTTTTGGACCCCAGACCCGAACAAGGACATATCACTTTATGTTCGGATTGGAGTTTGGTGATTTA